ACTACAAGAGGCAACTACCCTCAGTCACCCCAATATTTAGCTGAATGACTCTGCAGTTGCCCCCCTGCCCCAGAGCAGGCTGGGAACAGCCTGACTTCTGTGCTTACAGGTGGCATCTGAGGAGGGAGTCTCTAATCTCGTGAGTGCCCTAATACTATAGCTCAGCTCTAGTTCTGTGTGTTTACCCCCCCCCATTGCCTGAGACCAGTATTTTACTTTATTATCTCATCCCTAAAACATCTGAAATATCTCTGCCTTCCTCTTTCTCTGTTTATTTATCTGGTTTCTGTTTCATTGAAAAGAGGAATTTAGCAATTTCCCACGTTGTATTCCCAGCCTACGTGCATCCACGCTGTTTGTCCTCTGGCTCTAGGTTTATACCCACTTCCCATTTAGATTCCATTTCTTCTCACTCATCTGAGAGCATTAGAAATTATGTCCTTTTCTTCTCTTGCTCATAATTTATATCTATCTATCTATCTGTCTGTCTGTCTGTCTTTATATAGATACATCAGCAAAAGCTGCCGTCCAGTCTTCCTTCTAAGCCACACTTCCTTTCCCTGCTCCCGTTCACCGCAGAGCCTTTTCAGATCCACCTCTAGAACTTCCTCAGATAGTCTTGTGAACTGTCCTCTTCGCTTTCATCCCTGTCCCCTACACAGCACACTTGTCATGATCTGCCGCAGCCCCTGCTGCCACATCCCGTGACTGATCGTTAGCGCTCCATTGTAGTCATATCTACACAGCGCAATCACTTACTCCTTAGTTACTTGGTATCTGGGACCCTAGACTTTTTTTTATCCTTCCTACCACTGGTCGCTACCGCTTCTCTGCTTCTTTCTAGTTGCCCCTCCTCCCTCTGACCAATGCTGGTTGAAATGCCTTAAATGCCTCAATTTAGCATAGGGCCGCTTTGATTTTCATCTCTCCATCATTTTCTCCCCTGTGGTCTCGAGGCTTTTCATAACAGCCGGGAACCAAACCTGGGGCCTTCACAGTGCCTGCTTCCCCGGCCCCTAGCACACAGGTTTTATATTTTCTTTCACTCTTCTGAAAGTGTTTGTATATTTCAGTATGTGTGATTGAATATTTCATTTGAATCACTGGGGGACTTATTGTACAGCGGATTTTAAAGAGCCTTAATTATTCATGTATATCTGATAACCAAGAGAGACGAAAGTACAAATTTATATTGCTTAAATCTCCTGCCCACCCCCACCTTTCCTTTGCATGGCTAAATATTTACATTTCTGCTGCTGGATGAGGAACTTGACCTTGCAATGCAAGTGCTGCACAGCCATGAACTATTTATCTTTTCCTTCTCTTATGACTCTCTCTGACTTCATCAGCGATCTACTACTGCAATGACACTTTCTCTTCATGTAGACTGAGGTATTTGTTACTGTATCTGCATGTGAAGTCCTAGGAAACACTTCTGCTCCTGGTTCACTCAGATTTGTTCCGTCATTCCCAAGAGTGGAAGGGAATGCAGAGAGCAAGAGGGGCTAGCATGTGCCTGCGGTGTCCTTCAAACCCTTCTCCACCCACGATGGCAGCAAGGCGTAGGAGGAAATGATACACGTGTTTAGAACATGGGGTTTAGAAAGCTATCACAGAAGAGCTGGAGAAAACCCCCTTTTAGTCTTGGAGTAAAAAGAAATCGAAATCCAAAGAAATAAAATGATATGTACTCATTCAAGTAGCAAATCTCTACCTGAGCTACAAGTAGAACTTGAGTTTCTTGATTTTAGTTCAAGACCCTCTTCAAAGCATTTTCTGTCAGATGCGATCAATTTCCCAGTAGCTGAAGTCCATTTGAATCTTAGTGGTGAACAATGCTTAAGCTATTACGACTAAGTTTCCCCAATGTGATGGGTGATATTTGAGGGCATCATTAAACCTTGACAAATAATTCCTTAAAAATAATCTCTATGAAATCAAAACAAAGAACTTTGGGTACACATCAGAGATTATTTCATTTGTGACCCTCAAATGAAGAGGGTTTTTTTTGATATCCACATCCTTTGCATGATAAATTGTCACAAACAAGTAGAAAACAGATTGCCCTCATTATTTATTTATTTATATTATTTTTCAAAAATATAATTTTATTGTTATTCTTAAGGTGTTGTACAGAGGGGTTAGTGTTTCATTAATTAGATAGTGAGTACAGTACTTTTGGGGTAGTATCATCCTACCCTTACATTTTTATTTGTAATAGGGGAGATGTATTTTGGAATGGTGTGGGTTCATTTCTTTATACCCTAAGTTCTCCTTTCAGTCCCTCATAATGCTGTGAGGAGATGCACTTTAAAGAACTCAAGAAATGACATGCCTCAAATGATTTCAGAGAAAACTTGATGCTAGGCTTCTATAGAATCAGCAGATTCAGCTGATTCAGATTCGCTTTATTTCTGCTCAAGAAGTAGAGAAGACATTAAGAAAAGGGGAAAAATCATTGAGAAATAGGCAGATCCTTTAAAAAGGGAATCAAACTACTGTACATTGCTCAGCATTTTGGGGAGATTTGTTTGAATTTCAATAGTTACAAATTCGTGTACAGTGGCAGGAGTGCTGGGAATGTAAGCCTCTTAGCATTTTCTGTCATCAGCAAGTCCCCGTGTCTCCAGGGAGCCTTGAATCACCCTTAAAATGCAGATCCTTTTATTTTTTTTGCTGCAATCTTGGATATCCTCCTCAGGAACATTTCTGCAGAGCGAATTGAACACAATATAATTTGATCAGCCAATGGCCATAGCAACTCTATTTATGCTGCTGCTGAATGCATACGACAGCTAGGATCTAGGTGTGGGAAGGCAAAGCACCTTGCACTCACCATCTCACGTAATGTAGCCCTCACAAGAAGGCTCCAGCTACAAAGGGAAGGCACAGCTCCATATGGCTGCCTTGCCGCTCCACCCTTGAGTTCACTCAGAAGCATTATGACATATACTGTCTTAATAGACAACCCTGGAAGAGGCTGTGCAGAGTTGGCCTACTGTTTCCAATCATTAGCTTTGGTACTTGGGTTTAGCTGGGTGAAAATTGATAATTCCATACATAGGCTTTGTGTTTCTAGAAATTTAAGTGTGCGGGAGCAAAAAAATGTTAAACAATTCCTTCTGAGAAGGAAAAGATGTTATTTGTGATCATCAATAGTGAGGTGAAAGATCACAAATTTCTAGAAAAAATTCACAGTACTGATAAGAATTTCTTATGAAACTCTTTAGTAGGTATTGGTAAATGACCCAGAAATATGATGCATTATGATTTTGGACAAATGTTATGTCATATTTAAGTAGATAATAATTTAATAAGTTATTGAAAACCATCCCAGTTTTCAGTTATATCAGACATTGTGTTATAATCTGTATTTATACTGTTTTCAGTGTTAATGTCATATAATTAAATCAATATTGTAATTTCCACTGATTTTTAAATACACTAAGAAGCATTTTATGTCATATAGTAGTAAGAAACCATAATTTCAGCTTAAGAGATATGTGTGTATATCATTATTTTATTGAAGCAGGACGTTAGCTATATAAGTATCACTGGGATTTTCCTATTCTGATTTCCTTAAAAACATAATTCAAAGTTGGTACATTTTTCTTTCATTAAGAAAAAACTGCTATGATCTAGCAACATAATTATGCTTCCTTTTTATTTAATTAATTCATTGTTTAATTAGCATCTGGGTAAACTACTTATACTAATTTTCCTATCTCCCTTTCCTAATGCCTTTTATAACAAAGCAGCAGCATTTTAGAAGGAAGTGGCTAAAAGAAATTAAACCACTGGTATGTGTGTTAAAGATAAGAACAAATTTTAGAAAAGAACAAAGTTAATTAGGTCTCGTGGTGCCCGCTGTTATTCAGTGTATTCCACTTAGACCAAAGCTACAGCAACACACGCGCCCTGAGGTGTGGCCTGCTGGCTTTGTCCAGCAAGGCCGGAGGGAAGTTTAGTATGTGTTACAGTGTTGCAATGGTATAATGGCACCATTAATTCTGTGGATTTTTTTTTTGTCCAGATGAAGAAACTAGAAAATCTTAGTTTGGTAATTTTATTTTTGGCTTTCTTTAATAATGTCATATTTAATGTTTCATGCTGATGAAAATAATGACAATCACAGTGGTAACATGAATGGAATTATTAACATTCAGTATTGATGAAGGAGCTGTAGACTTGCAAACGATGAGTTGGGGCTGCCATTTTGTCCCGTTGAATAAGTCCTTCCATACATTATAGGGTCTGCTTTATTTTATCTAAAGAATAAGGGGTTGCACTGAGTAAACTGTAGAATTATTCTGCTTTACACATACCTGCTTTGGCTCAGAGAGAACCTTCTTTACCTGTTAGTATAAGAAGGAAAGTTATGGTAGAGAAGTAAGAAATACCAGATTTTGTAGCCAGTAGCCTAGCCATAGAGTCTTTTCTGTATTACTCAGTGATTATTTCTTTGGTAGCCATGGAGTCATGGACTCATGCGGTTGATACAGGGCAGGCCTGGCTGATGCTGTTGTAGAACTGGATGGTTTCCCACAGGTATTAACGCACACGCTAGGCTGTCTCAGTGGTTACTCCTGATGGATGTTAGGGAGTTTCCCCTTCTTGAGGTTGTTTTTGACAGTGTACAGTTTATCCTATTAGTTCGTGGTTTTTGTTTAATTAAAAACAACACACTACTCAGAAGGCAGAGATCTGAGGATCAGGGTTCAAAGCCAGACCAGGCAGACAAGTCAATGAAATTTTTACCCCCAGTTCACCAGCAAAAAAGCAAAAAGCTAGAGTCAGGGATATGGAGAGTACCACTCATGAGCTACAAAGCTGAAAGAGTGTTGGGGTGGGGGAGAAGAGAGAGAGAGGAAAGAGACTGAGTTCAAGCTTAGTACCACCACAGACACACCACACACACACACACACACACACACACACACACACACACACAGATTTTGAGAAACAAGATCCCTACCTTTGCATTTCATTTCTGTTTGCAGAACTTCCGATGGTGGCAAAGTGGTTGGAACCATAGAAGTCAGTGTGGTGAAGATGGGGGAGACGGAGGATGCAGATGCTGACCACACCACCACAGATGTACAGGGGCAAAAGGTAAGCTCTCAGCCACAGCGTTGCACAGCTTAAACCAGAAATGACCAGCTCTGCCAGATGCCTGTCTCACTGACACTCAGCAGTTCTGAAATCTCATCAGAACCACAGCTTTGAAGTCAGCCGTGGACAGGAGTATATAGGTATGTGTCATCCTGTGAACCAGAGACCCATTGGCGGGGGACGACGCAAAGCTACAGAACATTCAGAAACACCCTCTCTTCCCTGCCAGCCCTGGCACGGACACTGCCTCCTCTCAGCCGGAAGCAAAGTACTTATTGATCACTTCTGCATTCACCCATCATCAATCCCATGGGGGATTCTGGGAGGGCGATTGGCTAGTCACCTGCTCTCAGTTCCCAAAGCTGTCTTGGAAAGAGACCAAGTTTTAATTTGGATTTAATTTTCATGGGAACAGAAGATTTAACAACTGCTTAGTGCCCTGTGAGATTATATAGAGAGGCTGGAAACAGATCTAATAGAGGAACATCTCTGGAGGGGATATAATGCTAGCCAGAAGTAAAATGGCCTCCCCTTCTGTCTTTTTTTTTGTTTTATTCTCTCTCTCTTTCTCTCTCTTTTCTTATCTCTTTCTTTCTTTCTTTCTTTCTTTTTTGGTACAAATACTAGGGCTTAAGATTGGTACTCTTCCATTTGAGCCATACCTCTACTTCTTGCTTTTTGCTTGTTAATTGCAGGTAAGAGTCTAATAGACATTTCTGCCTGGGCTGGCTTTGAACCATGACCCTCAGATCTCAGCCTGCTGAGTAGCTAGGGTTACAGGCGAGAGCCACCAGTGCCCAGTGGTAAAGTATCTTTTTTGAAGCCCAGTATATAGGCATGATGCATGAGAATATACATCCAGGGATTTATCTTTCTCTCTGTTTCCCTTTGCTTTAAAGAAATAAAAACACAATGTAAAATATTAGACTAAAGTCTTTTCTGAGGACTGCAATTACCATTTTTTGAAGCACTTGATATACACAGGGCAGAATTAAAAACTGCTACCACTTAGTTTTCTTTCTTTTTTAAAATGAAGTCTAAATAGTATAATCCCTTTTTCAGTGATGAATATTATTAATGATAGGACCTATTGTGACTTATTTTTGTACTTTATTGTTTCTTATCTTGGAATATGTTTAATTCTTGGTCTAGAAAACATGACAAATGATATCTAATCAATCCTTAACAAATCAGTGCCATCACAAAAATAAATTGATAAATAGAGAAAGAAAATCTGGTTTTCCAAAAAAAGGCTAAACAAACATCTTCATGTCCCCAAAGAGTCAAAGATCATTTCTATTGCCCCAAATTTTATTCTACTCTGTTTTCACATCCTCTCCTTGGATCATTGTTGCTTTTATATATTTTTGTTTTTCCTCTAGTTGCGGGGTTTGAACTCAGGGCCTGGGTGCTGTCCCTGAGCTCTTTTTGCTCATGATAGTGCTCTACCACTTTGAGCCACAGTGCTGCTTCCAGTCATTGGGATTTATCTTGAAACGATTCCAAGGATGCCTAATTTCTTTCAAATCAGGCTGCTGGCAAATGTTGAGCCCACAGAGACATTTTCACAGCAGCACCGCTCTGGGTGGTGTGTTCAAGACTCCTCCTGGGGCTCACTCCTTCCCTCCAGCCTTGTTCCCTTTAGAGTTCTACACAAGACCCTGTCACCATCACGCACGCACATCCCTGCGCTGTGAGGAAGAGGAGGGTGTTTGGGTGATAGGCTGGGGACAGAGTGGGGAAGCAGGTTTTAAAGCAGAGCTGCTTTCCCTGACTCTAAATCTAATCCTGGCCCCCTGGCCAGCCTCCTCCCAGCACACCCTCTCCTTGACCTCCAGTCTTTCGCTCTTAGGACACCATGAACATTAAATCATGCTCTTTTCATAAATGAAGAACTTGAGACCTAGGATTACTCCTTGCCAAATTCCTGCATAAGGTTTCTGGCTCAGTAAAGTGAACTGAAAAAAAAAAGAGATATAACTGAGCTATTCTGAAAATAGAAGGTGGCAGCCACAACACACCCTGCGTATGAGTCATAAGTTGACAGAAATGGTAAACACCTAACAACCTGGAGACTCTTCGGAAACCTTGACCTCCTGCAAACCCTGTACAAAGTGACTCAACTCTCTCCCCAGTCCATAAGAATATTTATGATTGCGTGAAGAATGGGCAGGAAAGCCAGGATCCAATCCATAATGCTTAGAGATGTATGGAAATACCTTTATGTCAGCATTCTTCAAATGGCACTCACAAAACCTGGGGGAGGATTTCTGAAACACACATGCACAGAGCCTTCTATGGCTGTGCACACTCAAAATCCACATGGAGCCCATAAAGGCAAGTTGTTACTAACGGTGATTTAGGACTAACTGAGACATGACTGACGAGAGAAAGCAATTTAAATAGATCTCTCTAAAATCACTTCCTTCCTACAGAACTGCCTAATTTTGTGGAGAAAGAAGCGGAACTTCTGTTAGCACTGTAGTTACATAGCCATGTGCTATCTCTTGTGTAGATTGAGGAGTCAAAAAAATGGTGTTTGGGTGAGTCAGCCTGTGCTTCTATAACAAAATGCCATAGGCTGGTTAACTTAAACAGCGGAAGCTTGCTTTCCTAATGCTCTGGAGGCCATGTGCCAGTAGATTCGGTTCCTGGTAAAGAGTTAATTGATATTAATTTAGTAACTATTTATCAAAAGTTTTCTGGTTTTATCTTGTAAGTCTAAGTATTACGGGAGTAGGATTTTAAAACTGAGAGGGCCACTAGATTGAAATCACCCATCTTCCTTTCCATTTGAATGGAAGATTTGAGCAGATGAAGGTCACATTTCTGTATCTGCTTTATAAAAGAGTACAAACTTTCTGAGGTCATAAAGTCGACTTAGTGGATAGAGTCAGGATTTTCCACATGAGAAACTACAGCTATAGAATGGTGGCCTGGTCTCCGTGGGCCAGGGACTTCACTGGATCATGCCTATAAGTCATGTTCATGTTGGAGCAGTCTATCCGGCCATTCTACAGAAGGCTGTCAGGGACAGACCATGAAAGGATTTCTCGTCCATAGTTGAGAGTGTTAGACTTGACTGTTCCGTAATAGCCATGATGTAGGCTAGAGCAGAGTACCAATGGGTCATATTTATGAAAGATGATCTTATCAGTCCATGTTGGCTGAAAGGAATAGAAGACATGTGGGAAATGAGATGGATAAAAAATTCAAGGATATGGACTGGGAAGGTGGCTCAGTGGTAGAGCGCTTGCCTTGCATGCCTGAGGCCCTGGGTTCCATTCCTCAGCACCACATAAGCAAAAAGAAAAAAAAGCCGGAAGTGGTGCTGTGGCTCAAGTGGTAGAGTGCTAGCCTTGAGCTGAAGAGCTGAGGGACAGCGCCCAGGCCCAGAATTCAGGCCCCACGACCAGACCCCAAAAAATATTCAAGGATAACATTGATCAAGATGCGTTGTACTCGTAAATTGGTATGTTGACATTGTAATCCCTTTATACACCTAATTAGAGATAATAAATAAAATAAAGATTAAAGACTTAGAAAAGAAAAAAATGTCAAAGATTCGTTGCCCATTACTTTAGTGGTAGGAGAAGTGCATTTCCAAACTAGCTGGGAAGTAAAAGGAAGGAGGAGGGGCTTCTGTGAGTTCTAGTTGGTCAGAAACAATGAATTTGAGGGCATGGCATTTTAAGAGCTATTGGCAGTCCGTCCATTCCTTCATAAAATTAAAACCAGTAAGGGACCTGGGAGAGTGTACGTTTTGCCCATTGACAAATTACTGAGTCACCATAGAGACATAAGTAGTAGATTGTAAATATAGAATGTATCATGAAAGTCAATGCTCGGAATTATTTACTTTCCTCAACAAAATGTTTAGGGACCACAGAAAGCATAGCTTTCCCAGTGATCCCAGTACCCATGATTCTCCAAGGAGGTCAGCCCCAGTGAAAGGAAGCTGCTGGCAGGGGAGGGAACTCCTGTGGGGACAGGTGGGCCATAGCTCAAGGATTTCTGGTACAAGGATCACCTGAGTGTTGAATTCTCTTGGAGGACCCACAGAAGGATGGCTGTTTCCCTTAGATACACCCACCCAAGAACTTTCCAGGCCTTTTGCTTCATTTATATTTGCTTGTTTATATGTGATATATTTGCTATGAAGGTTCTCTTTTCCTCTACCTCTCACCTCCCCGACCCCTACCTTTCACTAGAGATAGAAGGAAATGTACTTGAGGAAATAAATGCTAGATGTGCCTCTACGCGACAGGATGGATAGGACTCTAAGACAAAAAGATCATGACAAAAACTAAAATAGATTTTCATAACAACTTTAAAAAATATTTTAAAATGTCAAAAGCAAGGAACTAAAACAAAATCAGGAACTCTAGAACAAGGAGAAATTGAACACCTAGGTCTCTATTCCTTCCACCCTCTCCCTTCTCTACCTCTTCCTCCTCCTCCTCCTTCTTCCTCTTCCTCTTCTTCTTCTCCTTCTTTTTAGCTGCTTTATGAGTTACCATCTCTCTAGATGACTAAGTCAATCTAAGGATAGGAAGTAACTCCTTGACTAGAAAGGAATGTCTAAAATGCTCAACTCATTCTACCTGCGTTTTGGGTGGTACTGGGCCCACTCTATACCAAGGGTACCCAGGCCTGGGAACATAGGAAAATGATGATTGCTAGGTGATATAGCCAGGGGTCTAGGTAAGAGGTCAGGTTAGATCCCCCCAATACAGAAGCTATACATGCAGTATGCTGGGGACAGGGACCACCAGTCTGAACCATCTCCTGTGCCCACCTCTGGCGTGTCAGAAGGTACTTCTCTTTTCTGTTTCTTCTGACTGACATCCTGCTTTGCTGACTAAAGCTTTGTTAGCCTTCTACTCTGAGTTTCTCTTGTCTGTAGCCGTGGATTCACTTTTAACACTCTTCATTCAGGATTTCAGGGGTTGTGAAATTGAGTACAAAATTCCGAATTCTTCTTCGAGAGTGCTCTATGTCCCCAAACCCCTCTGTAATAACATGTCCCTGTGAAAATTGGTCCCTACCTCCTGAGACCAGGAGAGCTTCTTTTCCTTTGTTAGATGTGGCCTTACAGGAAGATGAGGGAGAATGCTACCTCATCGACAAATTGTCTGGGACAATCTGATTCACCACACAGTAAGAACATGTCAATGTGCCCTTCTATGTCCCTTCTCTCTTTCTGTCCCAAGAAGTATCAATTTTGCAAATGTCATGAACTTAATCTCACAGACACAGATGCTGTAGATCCGCTTATTTATAAATAATTCACATAATCATTATTATAAATGATTCACATAAATGCTTTAAGTGAAATGTTTCCATCGTTTCGTTGGAGAAGGAATACCTTTTGGGCCTCTATAATTAGATCTTCCAACATGTTTTATTTTTAATTTAAAGTTTCTTTTACTTAAAACTTAAGAGAATAATTTCCTTCTTATTGATCTTAACTTAACTCAAATGAAAGACATAAACAGTTCAGCTTGTCAAGGATGATTTACAACTGTAAGAACATATTAGGTGCAATCCTACTCCTACTTTTGTGTTCTTCCCTGAGTCGCCTTTAATCAGAGCCAAAATGTACTCTGCTAATTATATGATGCAAGTATATCACACACAAATATAAGTAAATAATTACACATTGATGAAAACACTGGTAAAAGGTACAAGATACATTGTACTTATAAACGCATACGTTGCATGATAACTCCTTTGTACAACTGACGATGATTTAACAAACTGCATTACAAAGGTAAGACTAGAAACAATTGTACAGAAATGATTTAAAAAATTTGAGACACTGGGTATGATTTTATGAACAAAATACTTCAGTTTCTCTTGTTGATTATTTGCCCATGTTTGTCATTTGTTGTTTTCTTCTTTTTCCAGTGTGCACTGGTATATGAATGTACAGCTCCAGAAAGCATCAGTGGAAAAGATAACTCCCCTTTTCTGAATGCAGGTATGTAACTCAATTTCGAGTGCTTACATCAGCAGGCTGTAGTATATGTAAGTAAATATTAGCTCCCTATGAGTGGTAACACCGAGCTTCGTCAGCATCCTCACGGAATCATTTCGGGGCAGATTGGACCATGCCACAGAAAAGGTGTGTGAGCACCTTCGATGTTAATAGAGCAATCAATTCCTGTGGTTACTGAAGCAAATATTATCTGAGACAAATGACTCTAGGAGACGGATGGAACAGTGGAAATGTGAAGTGTCTGTTTAGTTTGACTTCCTAATTATATGATTTATGAAGCAAAGTTCAAATAATTGCCTTAAGAAATCAATAAGGAGAAATTCAAAACCACATCTGGACGCATTTGAGTAAATATCTGCGGTACCATGCTATTTGTAATTATGCATTTTTATTTCATCAAGGTTTTAAATAATGCATGAAAAGTACTTTTGAATAAAATTGAGTTATATAATATAGTCCAATGTATATAATAGTATGAACATGCAAAATAATAATTATGCAATTGCATTATATAATCCATTAATAATAGTAAACAGTGATAACTATAATGACAGGTAAGATGCTAAATGCTGTCTTCCAGCATATGTTTTCAGAAAGAGGATATATCATTATTGACATTTCATAGACAAGGAAATGGTTCAATGTTCCTAGGGTAATAGTTCAATAATCCCCTAGGAAAAAATGAACAGAACTGAAATGGGGTTTTGCTACTGAGGTCTTTGTATTTATAATACTAAAAAGCTACAAAGTTGCTGTCACCATAATGTAAGTCTCACTATTTTGTCTTGACCTGTTAAATTCTCCACATTTAAGTAATGCCATAGATGGCATGAAAAGCACATTCCTAAAACATATAGAACTTCAAACTCTCGATGATATTCAACCCCTGAACTATGATCAGTGCATCTAGGAATGTGAAATGGAGAACGAGAGATACCATGTTGGCTTTGTTCATATCACACAGGAATCAAATCATTGAACAGTATCAGCTGAGGAATCCTCAGTGCATTGGACACATCTAAATTGCCATCCAGGAGTCTGCCTCACCTGAAATTTAACTCAACTCTCAGTGTTTTACTGTAATATTCAGATAATCTATTTCATTTACTGAATGTCTGGGGAGGAAAAATAAATTGAGTGTGATAAATATTCAGCTCATGTTGAATGTAGTTCAAATGACTTGGAGGAACACAGAAGACATTTGCACTATAATGATAAGGTAATTTTTAAAGGTTTGTTCATGTGGCTTCTGTGCCATTTTTTTAATACACACCAAAAGCAAATGAAACTTTAAGGAACTGGTTTGTTAAATATAAATTGCTAAGGGAAAGAGAACTTTATTCCCTAATAAACAAATATCTTATGGCTAGAGGAAGAGACAGAGATAATAAATTGAAAATTAAATCTTTAAATCCTAATATGTGGGTCCACAATCTGTGAAGTGTGAGTGTTAGCAGCCACATGGACCTTTTCGGGTTACTGAATTACTAGGTATTCTGTCTACACTGCAATGAGGTGAAAGAAAAGCACCTGGAATCCATGGGGGCAGCTACATTCAGCAGTTGAGGCCCATTTACCTGGTAAAGGGAAGATCGATTATTGCTCTTCTATTTTCATGGAGATGACAGTCTTGGCTGTAATAACCCACTCTGCTCTGAAGGTCTTTTGGAAGGAAAAAAATAGATTATTTTGAGTGATATTAGGAAAGATCAGATGAAAGTCAGTACCCAGAAGGCTAGATTCTTTAAAAAGTTTCAAAAGTAAAATCTAAGCACTAGCCATAAAATATCTCCATTCAAAATAAAGACTGCATTGCGCAGGTATGGAATATGTATGACTTTGGCCTGTGTGTACCTTAGTCCTTTGTTCTGTTTATTTATCTATCTGAACTCAGCAGCTTTATCATGAATACATTGATTCCCACGTGGAATTGTTTTTTTAATGCATAGGGAAAAGGAGCTATTGACATTCTTCTCAGGGCTCCGTATTAATGTGTGCCGTGGACCTTGCTGGTGTTGAGTGAGTTATGAAGTGCTTACTGGGTGGGCGGGAGGGAATGTCATATTTGTGCAGCACCTCATGCTTCTATTTCTATCTCTAGAGGTTTCATTTATAATTCCAAATTCCGCTTATCTATTGTAAAAAGCCAAACCACTTTGCCCTTAAGGTCTTATTCTTTCCCTGGTCTGTTTATCTTGCAAGTTGAGTGTGTGTGTGGCGGGGGGGGGGGGAAGAATCTAGGAGATAGAGAGTAGGAGAGATTGTACATGGAGCACTAGAGCAGAATTTACAATTCCATAAGGAAGATCTATTCTTGCCTTAGTTGTATGGGAAAACAAATAAGACACTTAGAAGACACCAAGTATTGGATCTGGAAAGTATATCTTTACTTTGATTTTTAAATTACATAACTCATAAAAAAAAAAGATGTTAAAATAGGAGATGTCAAGCAAAGTGCTTACAGCTGGAAGCCTGCTACTCCTGAGAGCTGAGTGTCACAGCTGGACGCCAGCCCCGGCCGAAAAGTCCATGAGAAAGCTGGAAGTGGAACTGGGGCTCTAGTGGTAGAGTGATAGATAGCCTTGAGTAAAACGTCCAGGGACAGTGCCAAGGCCCTGAGTTCAAGCCCTAGGACCACCACTCACACAACAATAATAGGAGACTTCATTCCTTCATTATTTTCTGATCCATTGAAGTAAAATGACAATAGGACAGCTTAAAACTCATCAATACTAGGCAAAGGAGGCTGAGGAAGTTAGTTTTGAATGTAGAGAAGTTTTGGTGGTAGGTTAGCTCTCACAAGTTCCTGATGTTAAGTGTTCTTGTTAAGCCGCACTAACAGAGGCACCTTGTCTACTACCCGTAGGTGAGCAAGGATTTATGGTCTCTTATGGTACTGATAATAAAGGACAGTCCACAAGCTCCAAAGGACTAGGGTCCAAGTTGGGGTTTGTCAGTCTCTTTGAATTTCAATGTTCACAAAGTCTCTGACTGCCTTTTGCCTGTCTGTCAAATATTTGTAGTTGAGAGTTTATTTATTGCTCTGGTTTTTTCTCCTTTTAAACATTTCATAAACATTTTTCATTTCAATCAGTTTTATGTGGTGACACATAACAAATTTTTGTCATTTACAGTTTTATTTTTTCCCCCTTAGGAGTTACCATTTATAGGCAGGAATCCTGCTGAGAGATAAAACTTTAAAAGAAATCTCTTTTTGAGATAGTGATTGTCTCTCGAGTCATTAATTCTTCACTTGTTTTGGTAAAATTCTACTTGGCCCATGGAGGAAGCCAAATCTGGGAAGTGAATGCATTCTGCCAAAAAGATTTCTCCTGCTGTTGCATTCTGAGTGACTTTCTCCATCTGTAGCATCAGATCTGACATTGCATCTTTCCTGTTACCTCCTGAGTACAGGGAGACTGGCCAGCACCAGGAGACAAGTTTCTAATTTTCATGTTCAAATATGTACATTACTAGGACTATTTGGATACACTCTTCTCTCTGTTTGTCTACCTGCCTTCCCCTTAAGTCCAAACTCCTCAGACAAGACATATTTCAGCTTTCTGGTATTCATTGTATTAAACCATCCATCTGTTAACTGATCAAAGGAATTGCACCATGGAAATCACTCCTGCAGATGTCCTTGTTTAGTCTTGAGCCATTCTCTTGCCTATATCCTGAGTGAAAGGGAAGTCTCGTGGATGTGCTCTCCAGACTCCTCAAGTGTCTTTCTTGGCCGCTCTTTTCTCATAGCTATCCTTAGGATGCTGTTAATGATCCCTGTTTAGGTTTTTCAGTCCTTGTCCAATCTTAAAAGGGTCAACTTATGTTTCTGATGCACATAAATCTATGATCTTTTCATGGACAAATGAGAGAGCCTCTGTTTCTAATGGGATTACAACTTATTCTTTATATAATGGAGCACTTAGAGAATAGACCATGTTTTTACGTTCAGCTAAATGATGAAACAATGAAACAACTGCATAATTAAAAGGACAGAAGGAATGGGTTCTCCACAAGACCCTGCAAGTCCGTTAAAGTGGTGATTTTGTAAGGCCTATCTCCGTTCAAGTCAGATTCTATTTACATATGCCACGTCCACCACATCCTGAAAGAAAGGAAGTGTGTGAAGATAACCACAGACGGGCCTCTGATGGAGAAGTATATGGAAGAGAACCTGGTGAAGGATATAGATGTTGGAGTTGTTGATGATCTCTGAGACAGACACCCTGAACTAGATCTCCAAAGTGCTTACTGTGACAACCTCGCTGATGTCCTGGCTCTCTCTTATCGACAGAAACAGAAAAGAGAAAAGTATCCCTGGGGTATCTCTGGTTTACCTTTCCTGCCCCGGGTTGCTAGAACAGTAGTCCTTCTGTGCGTTCTGCTGTGAGGGTTTTGTCGTACATTTCCTTGGCATCCGTACTGTGAATGATTCAGCTTCCCTGCAGTTTGGTGGCTTTTACAACTGCCGAATCTCACGGAAATGCAGGTGGCGTGCAGCCTTGTTAAAGGTTCCCATTGCAGACCCTGAGATGAGTAATAGAGCTATGACAGTGGCAGTGCCTTGCGGGGAGAATATAACCCTGTCACATCCTTGCCATCCTGCGTTCATGTCAAAGGGTGGAAATCAAGGCAAAATGTATCCATCAAGATCAGAGCCAATTTTATAACTTTATCCTGATCAAATCATCTCAAGACCATGATGTGTTCTCAGATACAGCAAAGACTTTTCCCTTGGTGGTCTCTGTCATGTGTGGTATTGTTGACATTTCTTTTGAGAAAACATTCTAACGGTGGAGACCAGAATACACATACAGATCTGTCTTGATGAAGACAGACTGGCTATGACATAGTTGTTAAGGGGATGAGCCCACAGTCCTGCTTAGAAAAACACAAAAGCTTGGCATAGTGGAGAGTTCTGGCGAAGTCATTCACACAGTCCTCTGCTAGGGCACACGGCTCAAGCGGAATGGTATCCCTGCTGTTCAGGAGACTCGGTGAGGAAAGCCGATGCATTTATCCTGTGTGGCCTGCGGTGCATATGGCACCACCCCTTTGTTTTAGGTGAAGATCCAGAAGTATTTCTGCCATCAGCACGGCAAGAATTTTGAGTTGAGATCACTTTATCTGGTCTGTTGGTACTCAGTGCAGCAGACTAGATGCTGATTAAAGTCAGATCGTGTTCCTTTTAAAAACAATTATGCTGCATTATATGATATATTTAAGATGTGTACTGCATGTCTTTGATTCTGAGGTAGTAGGTGCTCAGACGGAATATGGCTGGGTCAAATGGAGTTGGGAAGTGGGTTTTCCCACGTGGTATGGTCAGCTTTCTATCTTTCTACAAAAACAAAAACACAAGGAAATCATCTTGAAGAGGAATTGAGGAGGTTTACTGTGAATTGGGTTTCCCAAGTGTCAGTACAGACTCACTTGGGTTCCGTTGATTTGAGCTTGTGGCAACATGAACTATCATGGCAGGAAGTTTCTTGGTGGAATTCACCTGCAAAAAAGAGAAGGAGAAGGAGAATGAGGAGGGGGAGAGGAAGGGGGAGGGGGGAGGAAGGAAGTAAAGGGGATAGGAAAGGAAGAAGGAAGGAAAGGAGCAGAAGGAAGAGAAAGACAAGGAAAAGGAGGAGAGAGACAGAGAGAGAGAAAGAGAAAGAATAAGACTTAGAGACAGAGGTAGCTACCAAGACAGAGAGGGAGGAGATAAGGGCCAAGGTTTCAGTGTCCACTTTAGTGGCACATTCCCAAAGACCTCCCAGTCCTAAACATCACAACAGTGCCCCAGGCAGGTGCCCAAGTCTTTGACATGGAATCCTTTGGGGGACATTTCCTATGCAAACTTGGAGCACCTTGTATCTCTAATGACACATTGAGAAGTACACTTAATTTACCACCAATGCTGAGGACCTGTGACTCTCGAAGGAGCAGCATCCCTAACGTGAACATGAAGAAGGAAATATTCATGGGGATATGTTTGCATGATTCATTTTCCTGAGTGTGTGTTTGTTTTGCATCAAGAAACAGGAGCATTCCCATACTGTCTTTGGTTAATGTGTAGCTGGTGGTTAGAGAAGTCTAGAGCTCATTAATCAAACCGCCTTTGGATTCTGCTTTAGTTATTTCACAAAGGTTTATATTTAGAACACAGAAGCAGTGTTAAAATGAAAACACAAATAACAAATACAAAGGTGAAATATTTGATTGGGGATCAAAAGATAAAATAGTTTCATAGTTCTGGACATTATTTAAAATATAATTATTACTCCACAAAAAGCCAGGGAAAAACATCCAAAGATCTTCTGATCTTTTACATTGCCTGTTAAACTTTGGTGCAGGCATGGAAGTAGTATTGGAAGAAACATGTGCCTTAAGATATACAAGTGATGTGTGTGTGTAGTACTGGAGTTTGAACTCAGAGAACCCTACACTCAAGCTATATCTGCATCCCATTTTTCTCATTAGGTTATTTTCAGGTAGGGTTTCGTGCTTTTTGCTCAGGCTAACCTCAATCCACAATTCTCCTACCTGTGTCTTCCATGTAGTGGGGGTTATAGGAATGTGCAACTATGCCTTGTCTATTTTTTTGAGATCAAGTCTTATTCACTTTTGGTCTTGGTTGTTCTTGCCAAATATTAACATCTGACCCTACACTCTGTTTCTGAATTTTTTAAAAAAATCTTTGCATGCATCACCCTGTCTCCTCCAATCACTGTCCACCCTACCGTATCTTTAGTCTCCTTAACTTGGTTTTGATAATATGTGGCTTCAAGAAAGTGTGGTATTGATTCACTGACACCTTAAAATATGCTCCATATTTTGAATTTCAGTAAATAAGAAGGGAAAGGAATAAAACTTCCTGACATACAATTTTTACTAGGAAGACTTTGAAGAATTTCTGGAATAAGATTATCTGTTGCCACTTATACAAGTAAAGGTGACTAGGATTGATCATAATAAATTTATAAACAAAACTCTTAAGTGTGTATTATGTGTATGTACTTGTATTTCTATCCACATTACATCTACAGTTACCTTTAGAAAACATGACTACACATTAAGTACATAAGTTAAATTAAAATTTTTAAACAGGAAGAAATCAGTAGGGGCTAAATAGAAGAGTCACACTAGCTGAATTTATAAATGGGAAATTGATATATCTTTTCTTGAGTATAGCAGAAACTTTCAAAAGCTCCTGAAAAAAAATATGATCCCCAAAGCAAAACTTCATAGAAATTCAAATATATACCAGTAGGTTCTTATAAATAGTAAATTTTTTACAAAGTTAAAATGTACAGTTCCACCTTACTTAATGACTTCTTTGTGTCTGAGGAACATGTTTATGATTTGACTCCTGCTGTTTTGCATGTTTCTCCTTAGTGTTAAAGAATCCAGTGTGCAAATTATATCGATTTCCCACATCGGACAATAAGTGGATGCGTATCCGGGAGCAGATGTCGGAGAGCATACTTTCTTTCCATATTCCTAAGGAATTGATTTCCCTTCACATAAAAGAAGATTTGTGTAGGTAAGAGAAAGCAATCTGTCATTGCCTTGCATACTGATTCTTCATTTTTCCATATCATTCCTTTTGTAATATTTTGAGTGAACAAATTTATATTTTGTATATATTTATCATGTCAAGCATGTTTTGAAATATATGTAGACATAAAGTGAGTAATGCATATATATAATATATATACATATATATATATATATATGTTCTCACTTATTGATTACCTGCCTCTGTCAATACACCTTTCACCAAGTATGACAAGACTGTGGATTGTCCACACGTTCATCACTTTTCAAGATTTGAGATTAAGACCAAGTTCTAGGTCTAGATTACCACTGTCTACTGTGGTGGCCACTGAGCCTCTTTGGTTATTGAGCATTTGAAATATAACTAGCCAAAATGGAAATGGAAATTATACATAAGACCTTAAATTCCTAGTGCACATGCACATGCAAATGATTTAATAATTACATGGTTAGCATTCTAGATATATTGAGGTTAAGTGAAAATATATCGGTGAAGTTCATCTCAACTATCTTGGTTTTCTAATGTTTACATAGGACTGATAGAGACTTTGAAATGACAAATCACATTGTCTTTTTGTGGTTTGAAATATATTTCTTGTGGACAGCTGGGTAGTGAGCCAATGGCTTGAGCTTAGAACTATAACCATTCTTGTCTCTTTATTTCTTCTGCTTTTTACTGCTTCTTTTGATTCCTATTTGATTTAAAGAAGATTCATCCTCATCTTTAGCCTACCTGTCTATGGCCTTTCAAATGTTTGCAGGTCTAGAAACTATCTGGGGTAACTGATAAAATGTGCTTATGCTAATGAGTAACATATAACGAGACAGAAGAATTTGAGAGCCTATTGGTTGAAAAGAGTATCTTGGAACCAGGACTAATTAAATCATTTGTGTCTCTGCTGTCTAAACAGACTTACAATGACTTTAAAAATGCTGAATTCTGTATTGTGCTAAATACCTTTAAGACTCTCTCAGGTAATTGATATTTTTTTCATAGCTAGCATTCTTCAAGTGCTGATGTTTATACCCAAGAATGAAATGTCACATTTCTGCTTTATGCTCACATTGGCACATAGAGTGCTTGGTAGTATTAGACCTTTCTACTAGGCTTTAAGGTCCCCAGAAATGATACCTTGATGTATTCCAGCCAGGGTACCATAAGTGCATAAGTCAACCTTGGTTTTTAGGATAGCATAGGAATAGCTGCACAAATAATCTATAACAAAGCAAGTTGAAGTTTTTAACTTGCAAGTTGAAACGGGAATTGAATTTCTGGGACAGCTAGTGAGGAAATTGAGTTTTATTAAATGGGTCCAGATCTAGACAACAAAGATGGAAAGAAAAACAAGAAGGTGAATGTTTCAGGTAGCGGAATGAGGAAATGGATCCACAGAAATCAGACAGCTGGGTCGACGCTGGCCAAAGGGAGATGTGCTACGTAAAGAATCAGGGCGTTGGTATGAGAGTCCACTGCAAGAATGAGCTCATGTAAGTCAGGACCAAGAAGATTGTCCCCACTTGAATCTGGTGCCAGGAATAGAGGATCCTGACCCATAGGAAAATTCCCAGAAGGGACAATCAGGCTGCCATGTAAAAGTGAACAGAGTCTGTGTCTTTGAAGGCAGGAAAGATTTTGAGTCATTCTCCTCAACCTGGTTCTATTCCAGACCAATAGACACCAAGAACCACTCCTACTAGAGACAAGTAAGAATCTCCCTTTCCCACGGAAGAGCTGAAGAGGTAGCTCCTCCCACAGGGGTTATAGATCAAGGAAGGACTCAGTAGCCAAGCACGAGTTGGAAGTGCCAGGAAGGATCTAGCGTCCTTCTCCAACTGAGAAACCTAGACAAGTGTGCAGATGAAGCAGAAACAGGCTGGAGAAGTTAGGGCTAGAATTATCTCATAAAGTGCATCTGAACTTATCTACTGCAAATGGCAGCTGAACGGCCGCATCTAAGTAGCTATCCCCAAGCTCATGATAAGCCATCTATGAACACACAGACAATGGAAAATGACGGTACTCCACAGAGCACCGGAACATATTAACATAATAATATATTATTATACTGTATACTATCTTTAACACAACTAATTTTAGGCAACTATTTGGGAGGTTGGAAAAGCAGAGTTGATGGACCACTTATGCTATTTCATTTTAAAAATGCAACGAGCTAGTGAATGTGAAAAAATAAAGAAAAAGAGCCAGAATTCTGTCCCAGTCTGTCCTTTGTCATCAGTTTAAAGAAATTTCCCAAAGATGGAACAGCTGTTCCTCTGCTGCGTGTCTTCAGCATTTGAGTTCAACAGTGTTGTCTCTGACCGCTGTCTTTACTCTCCTCCCACTGAGATCTCTGTCTCTGTCCATCTAGTGATAGAAAGTCCTGGGGAGATACAACGAGTAGGTCATTTAAGCCACTGCATTTTGGTAGGCAGGAATCCTTATCATTTCTATTGATTCCGATTTCCCTTTTTAAAACATAGTGTTGTCATCTCCCCTGTCTTCTTGTATCTCACCATATCTCTTTTATTTTTTTTTCTTTAGGAATTCATAGCAAATATCCACCACCACAGGGAGAAGTTTGGGTGGGGGTAAAGGGACAGTACTGCCAAGTATGAAGTACATAGAGAGAACTTGGAGCCAGGATTGTTCAGAGAATAAAATCATATTCCAGTTTTATGAAACCGAACTGTATAAAAATCTGATCGGTTCTAGGTACTGCCTGTGGACAGTGGACTGTCCTGTTCATAACTTCTGCTCTCTCTAATACCTTGTCCATCAATCTCCTGACACTGAAATATGTTAAAGATGCAACAATGAAACTTCAACCTGTTATAAGGAAAAAAGAGAAGAAAAAAATCCTCCCAGATATTCAAAAAAGAAATATAGGGGAAAAAAGCATAGAAAAGATGACAGGTTATCTGGGTAAAATGTAAGAAGATATGATTATTATCAAATAGAATCAGCAACCTATTAAAAAAGATCTATCAAAAGAGAAAAGGACAAGAGAAAATGATAATGGAGGAAATTATGAAATTTTAAAGTGCAGCAGCTGAATTAAATCTACACAGCTACTGGCAAAATCATGTCAGCAATGTGGAAGACAAATACGATAAGCCTTTTCTAAATGCTAAGTAAAGGTGCAAAAAAGTTCAAAGAGCTGAGGGAGAAGATGTTAGGTGTGTAGAGAGAAAGCTGGAATCTGGTAAATAATTTTGAGTCTTCTTAGGGAAAATCAGTGGTTGTTTTTGTGATCGCAGTGGATATGTAGCAGAGAACAAAGTGTTTCATTTTCCCTTTACATACTATTCAACTAACTGTATTTCTTTACCAAATTAAATGGTGGTAGCCAATGGCACTCCCAAGGGGGAAAGGCTGTAACTTCACCAATCATTATTTAGGGCAAGGTTACAATTGTTTTATGAATGGAAAGCGATGGAAATAATGATACAAGAGTTTAGACTATGTCACCATAAAATCATTCTAGCAAAAACCTACTCAAGAATATGTCACCCAAAATCCTTTCTAGAAAAACCTACTTGAAGCTACAAGTCATCCAACTGTGAGAATAAAGATTTTTTTGTTTGTAATATAAGCATAACTTAACATAAAATTGCATTGTGCAGCCTGTCACTGGGAGTTCACACCTGTAATCCTAGCTAGTCAAGATGCTGAGATCTGAGGATCATGGTTCAAAGCCAGTCCTGGCAGAAAAATGGGTAAGATTCTTATCTGCAATTGACCACCAGGAAACTAGAAATGGCACTGTGGTTCACAGTGGTAGAGCACTAGCCTGGAGGGAAAAAACTCAGGTATAGTGCCCAGGCCCCAAGTTAGAGCCTCATAACCAACAATAGAAAAAAAAATGCATTGTGCTCTAAAATTGACATACAACATAAGAAATTAAAGGAATGTCTTTGAGAATTACTTAAAACATCATTTTTACTGAGGTAGAATCTCCCAAGTGGTGAAAACTTCATTCTGAAATACTTGGTCAACAACAGCTCTACTGCTACTTTCATTCTGATTTCAAGAAGGGTGCCGCTTTGACCATCATCTTCCCTTGCAGCCAAGATTAGATAATCTCTGCTACTGACTGCCATGAGAGCCGCAGGTGCTCACTCAGCCCTGGAGTGTGGGCCAAGCACTTCGCTCCCATGCTTAGAAGTCTATCGTACAAGAATTATCAAAGTCCCCGGCTTTTTCTTCAGAAAAAAAGAAAAAAGAACTCTACTAGTAGAGTTCTTCATAAAGAATATATTTATATTGTCAGGAACCTGTCTCTTTTCTGCATCTCTGTGGGAAACATTTAGTTCTGTCATCACATTTTGGCAAAGACTAATAGGCCAGTAATTGTCTGCTGTGGAAACTGGGTTATTAGACCCCAAGCCCAAAGTTTAAGATCTGGCCGCTGACCCCCACATACCAAAGAAAGAGACAGGGTGACGAGCAGAGAAAAGAGATGCCTTACCTGGCAATCCTGGGAAGACAGCACGTTAGTATATCTTTAGTCACATGATGGGGTCCTTGCCAGACATTCACCTTGTAACATAGGGGAAGATGAGGGCAGGAAGTGAGCAAGGTATGCATAGTTAAAACAGTCCCAAGTCACAGGGGCATCTGGTGGACTTTTTCTCAGTCTTCATCCTTGGAGGAGTTTACCATTGGAATGGGAACTTCCTGTGGGTGATCTCCTATGTGAGAGGTTGTTTAATCTTCCACGCAAATGCTTCTCAGTCAGTCTTCTCTTTCCTGGAACCCAAGGCCAATTGGAAGGTGGCTGTAAGAGGGAATAGCTTGAGCCAAAAGCAGACATAAGGTTGGAGGGCTTTTAGTGAATTCACATGGCCCAGGAAAAGCATCAAGTTCCCTTTACACCTCCACATCTCTTCGTATTTTTAATCCAGATATTATATATTATTTTTGTATATATTTTATTGTAAAAATGCTGTACAGAAGGGTTACAGTTACATGAGTAAGGTAATGAG